AAAATTAAATAACCAAAACACTATTTATTTAGGAACCTTACTCTTTTTTTGGTAGTTCAATTCACAATTTAAGAAATGATGGACATTTATATTATAAAATACCATTGCTCTTCAATAAACAATAACGTAGGTATACTAAAAGTTTTTTTTGAATAGGAACGGGTAAACTGAGAAAAATAATTGGAATGGACTTTGAACATTGAAACCCCCTTATCTTCAAATCCAGTCTATTTTCCTTGTAAATTCTAAATATTATACAATATTATATTATATKATATATTTTAATATTACTGTTATACCATCATCGAATTCAAATTGACCTTTATTTGACATCTAAGAGTAATTTTATTAAGTTAAAAAATTTTAATGAAAATAAATTTAATAAAAATAAAATATTTGAATATTATAAAGTACCTAACTTATGCCTGATTCTTATTTTTATGAAATGGATCGGTAGGTACCTAATTAATCAATTAATATTGTGTACATACGTGATGACGAGAAGAAAAAAACTACGCTATTAAAAAACATTAATTTTACACAATTCAACACGTYTAATTCGTAGACGCTTTTTTTTCAAAAACAGAATGCCAATATACATACAGAAAGGGTTGGATTGAAATCACTTAATTGGTACGACTAACATTAACCGGAATCGTTACCTATAGGTTTAGCAAAGCCACTAAATTTTTCAAAAAAATTAGTATTCGTCATAGTTACAGACTTACGGTATTATATTATGTAAACGATGAAGTATTTTATTATTTCGAGCTGCTTATGAATAAGAAACATTTATATTAGTGTCTAGTGTCTACTGTGTAATACAAACAAGTGCGAACATTTATTCTAAATTAATATTATATTTAATATTTTAATGTATTAGATGTGAAAGTATTGATAAATATCAGTCATTGTGATGTCAATGCACAATATGTTAATTCATAACTACAATTGATTATCATCATACATTTTTAACAAGTCCTTACAAGTCATACTCAAACAAAATAATTTCTGAAGAAAATAATTTAATCGAGATTTTAATGTTTACCAGACGTATCGTTTCATTTAATTAAAAATTACCGAAAAACAATCCCGAGCGGACTTACCTATGTAATGGTCCAGATTCTGCGAAATATAAATTAGAAATTTAGAACTACCCCAAACCCCTGCCCAAATCAAAAAGGTATTAAAAAAAGAGGCGTCACCGTTTTCGGCCAAAATTTACCCTTCCATTTTCGGCCAGTGTCACTTTTTGGCCAACACTTAAAATGTACCCTACTCTTTTCRGCCACTGTCTCTTTTCGACCACTGTCCCTTTTCGGCTAGCACAGTTTTCTTTAAAATTTACAATTTTAACAACTTATGAGTTATGATCGTATCAAAAAATGTGATTTTTAAAAAAAAAATATTACATAATACTTTGTGAAAAAATAATAAAATAAAATGTTATAATATAATACATCAGTCGAATAAAAATATAATAATAATTAAATATACACAAAAATTAATTTTTATTTAACAAATGTAATAATTTGTTCAGTTGTTAAAATTGTAAATTTTAAAGAAAACTGTGCTGGCCGAAAAGTAAATGGTAAGTTTTGGCCGAAAATTAAACGGTAAGTTTTGGCCGAAAAGGGAAGGGTACATTTTGGYAAAAGKGGGCCGCCCAAAAAAAAGCGATCTTTCGAAAATTAAACATTAATATATTATATTAAGTAGGAACCTATAATAACATATTGTATTTTTATTAACTTTTATGGCCAAGTATTTATTTTTGAGTTTTTATACTCTTTCATACACTTTTAAGAGGCATGTGTGTCTCCGTCTTACAAATGTAAAACATTGCGAAAACTGCTTTTCGAGAGAGACAACCATCACTCAAGCTTTAATCCAAACTAAACAACCAAATTTTCACAATATTAAGTGGAGAATATTTTCAATGCAACGTTGTTTTTATTTTTTCGATATCATAACTGAAAAAAAAATTATTCAAGTTTGAAAAACTCAAAAATAATAAATTCTTAATCAATAAGAACTTTTTTCGTATTTGTGATGTCGAAAAATTAAAAACAACTACGTTGCAAAGTAAATATTCTCCTCTTTGTAGTGTGAAAATTTGATGTTGCTCAGCTTAGATTACAGCTTGAATGGTTCTTTTCCTTGCAAAAGAGTTTTCGCAATGTTTTACATATTTTGTAAGACGGAAACAACTGCACGTGCGGGTGCAGCGTCCTCTTAATTTCATATTCCAATTTTAACATAAAAATACGCATTAGATAGTACCTCTACCTAGGTACATAATATTACACATATTATTATACATTTTAATCACATTATGAGCTATGAGTTTATGTCAATGATTTATGGCATCACATTTGGACATTGATGAATAGCTCATTGCCTGCCAGTAGGTCCTAACCTTATTAAGTGAAAATAAACATTATAGTGTCTGAGCGTACTTATTTGGTACACGTTATTATTATTCGACTATTAAAATTTAAAATTATGGTACAATACATWCATATAAAACAGTTAATATTTTTGATAAAATTTAAAATGTAGTATTATTAGTTGTTAATATATATAGTATACATAATATTATATCATATCATACATATACGCCACTAGTGATTATTATGATGTCATCTCCGTGTAAACATACAGCATTTTTGGACACTTCCTCGAAATTTCAATACATTAAGGAATGCGTTTGAATCGAGACCAATAATTCGACCTTACTCAAATATGTATAAGTGTGTAGTCACAATGTACATTGTACGGTGGGTATTTAATTGATCGCCGATAAAACGAAAACATACATAATATTAGCAATGAAAATAATATTTTTTTAAATATTATTATTTAGCTTTACAAGTCGATAACATTATAATGATAAACTAAGGTTAAATCGCATTTGGATAGGTTAAATAATCCATAATTTTCAGTATTTACAAAATGTTATCTTTTAACATTGATCTTTTAACACAAAAGGGTTTGATGTGCGAACATCACGCTATACACATTCACCTATTCCGCAGCAAGTAAATTGCCTTTTGTTTTTTTTTTCACAAAAATAATTATTATTATTTTAAGTTGAAATTATAAACAGTAGGTATATAGCAGTTTGCATGTGTGCAATTCGGTTGGGGGAGGTGTTCTTATAGCAACCACAATTTTGAAATCATAATTTCTTCATTAATAATAGTTAATTATAGTTCTTATTTTATATTGGAGTTAGTGGGACAATGTTGCTCATCTTGTAATCCATGCAAGCCCGTAGTCAGACCAAATTTTCAGGTGTGGTAAACAAAATGTTAGGAGGTCATTGTATTTAAAAACAATACTAATTTATAATATTTTTAATATTTTTATAGGAACCAACGATTGTCTTTACGGAGTGTAACGCCCTTTCTTGCCACCCGTAGATACGATCCCGAGTCCATATGTTCGAAATCTTAACACCTTCAATTTTGAAAAATTGCACCACTTGGATCACAYAATATCATCAGTACTCAAATAATTTAAAAGTGAAAAAAGTATGCAGCTAGATATGTGGCATACAAATTGAATGTCACAGACTGCACAGTTTTCCGGATCTCCCTGCATATATATATATATATATATATAGCGTTATGGGAATATGAAGTGGATCGAGATTAAACAAAACAATTAATATACTAGAGCTCTCTCTACGGCAACCAGCTCGGTAATTTCCAATTGATGTTTTTGATGACCCGTTTGTCGATGTGTATAAATATCGGACACTACCCAAACAGTGGACAATTTTTTGTCATGCCATTATAAGAGATACAAATCGATTTTTTACTCGTGTTTTACATTAAATTTATACAATTAGTATGTATATACACACACTGATTCCGCTTCTGCAGCACTAACGGTGTACTAATTAATATAATATTTGCTAGCGCGAATCATTATTAGATAAGAAAATTAAGATACGCGCGAGCAATAAACGGCCGACATGAGTTGATCCCGATCACGTGAAAACAAATTACTTACAGGTAATCCAGTGCCCGCCAGTTCGTCTGGGTGAATTCAATAACTGCTATCGACGCACAAAAACCACAATAACATAATATTTTTGTGCTATAGTCACTTGTTTATACGTAATTATTGTTGTCGATTAAAACGTTATGAGAGTAATTTTTTCGAGGCTATATGTCTCGGAAATCTTTGGTTAGGTTAGAAAAAATGTTCACCGAAAGGAATAACATTACGTCAACGGTCGAAAGCTGTCTTTGCTCGGACGCATATGCGCTGCAATTTCAATAAAAAAAAAAAAACCCTAAGGGTGCTTAAGCCATATATGCATTTACTCGTTTTAGTTATTTTTTAGAAGAAAAAGTTTTTGATATACATTAACACGAAACATCATTTGAGGTCATTATTTGATTTTTAAAGTTGGCGGTGCAAATACACCTAGAGACCCCCTCCCCCTCTATTTGAGCCTATATTCTAGGACTTGTTACCGCGGTACATGCCTCTCGATTTAGTGCGAACTCTAAGAAAACAAATCGAACTCGAATACAAAAGGACCCTAAATATAAACGGATCGATATCGCGTTCGAGAACTGTAAATAAAAAACACACAGTCAAGTATAGGTTTACACGCCGTTATAACATTAGACGTCCAATTATAATAATATCGCCGTACATAGATGAATGGACATCACCGGTTGCAGTGACACATCGGGTTTTATGTTARCCTTTGACCCAAGTAAAGGACCCGCGAGAAATGCATAGGCGATGGGTTTCATAATATTGCGTTAAATTTTACACCGCTGATCGTGAGTTATGACTATCGGTCATGGGTAGTATTATACGACGACCCAATTTATTTTCATCATATTATTATGTATTAATTACGACTTACTTGGTATTATAGGTGCTGTGGTGTATAAATTTTACGCGGTTCTAATGTAATATTCGTCGGTCGGGACGGACCGGAGACTCCGTGGTGGGTTATTTTGACGATGACGACGTACGTATAGACGACGAAGACGACAATGGCGCSCGGATATAATCCAAAGATYGCGTTGACGCGGACGTGCACTACGGGTAGGTATATAAATTTATATTGTTCGCTGTGGACCGCTGTAGATCACTGACGGAAGTGCGCGGACGGTGGCGGCGGTACACGATTTCGGAGTGCACATCATCATCAGCTCGCATCCATAAAGGCAGTGTTATCAGTCCGTTATCAGTCGTCCGTCGACGGTAGACGACCGTCAGCCAGGGGAGAAAAGGCCAATTATTATTATTATTATAATTATTATGATTCTATATAAGCACACACACACACGCCGAAGAAAGGACGAAGATGACGGCCGGACAAACATCGCAGTAAGTCGTACGTGCGTACGCGGGTTAGGTTTCAGACGGGTCGTAATAATTATTTGTTTTCCGAAAACGATCGAGTTGGCCATTATTATAGGTCAACGAGATAAATTGTGATCATCTATACACCGTGTGCTCGTGTGTGTGTGTGTGTGTGTGCACAGATGAAAATAACATGAAAACAATATAAACGTGATAACATGTTTGTTCTGTTGTTCTATAACAACCCATCATCCGTACAATAATAATATGTGCGCTCATACCACMATGCCTTGTTGTATGCACGACAAGGACAAATCAATGTTAAACATGATGATTACACAACGCCATACCCAACTCGTCTCATCTCTAATTCGGACCGATAAAAACATAATTTTACGACTTAACGGACTTTGTATGCTTTATAGGTACAACAGACCTTACACCACGTCGTCGTGCACAATATAATATGCATATATATTTATTATATGCGTTATATATACCTATACGAGTATGATGTTGACTCATCGTGGGGTTAGCGAAAGAAGATTTAGCTTCAAACCAGTCGATTTAAAACAAAAAAATTAAAAGTCGAAAACAAAATTTATACGTTTTTCCTCATAAACGCATGTACTAGCAGAACGTATCTGTGTAGGCGTCTGCATCAGAGTACCCTGAGTCCCTGACACAATAATAAATGGGTAAAATGGAGAAGTTTAAACCACATACGAACCAAAGTGGAATCGATGAAAGGCCCAGTAGTGGTCAAATGACTTATTATGAAAACTTGGATAACAAAGACTAAAACTACCAAAGCAACTAAAAAAGTTACCAATATAATATTGTACATCAATGTGTTATTTTAAATTTCAATCTAATATTACCTTTATTTTACTCTATTTTACTTAATTTTATTCTATTGCACTTATAACTCATAACTGTGCTACTGCCTAACACGACATAATAATAATCGGACTACCCATTAAGGAGAGACGTGCAGCATGTAGAAAACAATGTCACATGTACTAGCAACAGCACTCATCAGTCATCACCCTTCAAATTTGTTCACCGAACGTCCACCGAGTGGTGGAAATGAGTCTTTAATAACTACCTGCAWTTACCAGTAGTCACGTTTTTTAAATTTTAAGTTGAATTCTCACCACTGCGGAAAGCAAATGTCAACAGAGCGTGGACAGCGAATTGAATTTTAAGCGTCGAGCTGCGTTTTCTCGGCACSTAGACATATTATATGTGTAGTGTTAGACTTATACGATTATCATAATATCATCTGCAATCACCTGCAGACATCACGTATGACTTGAGATTGTTATAATATTTTCAAGACTAAAATGTTATAAAACAAAAAAAAATTGAAAACAACCGATTACTCTAATTCTATTGGGTCATAAGACTACATTTTAATACTCTAACAAAATAGTACCCACCTTTTGTGGGTGGTTTTATTTTTTTTTTTACAAATATAATATATATTGTSGTAGACAGCAATTAACTCTATACGAATTCGTGTCAGAGATCGTAAAAAATAATAGAATATATTACAATTTGCTACATGCTAACTCTACGAAAAAGTACGATCGATTTCACAACGAATAATAGAATATTTATGACACATGAATAACAGCCTTAATCTCACACAACTCATATAATGTAATCATATAGGAACTGTTGACCAGGTCACGGACTAGCTYAACAAAAGTTAGATATAAGTATTCATAAGGAAACTCGCAGCTCACGCGAAAATCAATGRAATCGACATGATTTATGAAAAAGCTCAGAGGACATCAGAGACAGAGTGTACAATAACTATTAATAACACTTGAGCGCCTTCACACCACTCATATCAGAACTTATTGTACACATTTTATAAATTTTGCTTAAATTAATGGAAATAATTCAAATAAACCATCATTTGTTCACTGTTGAACAATTTCTATCGACCATTATGAAAAAAAAAACCACTATCACATTTGAATCGCTGATAGCTCGCATTTTTTATATTTTGTGAAAAAAAAAATTAGTTTAAAAAATTAAGAAAGTCAATTTGGAAGTGGTTAGAACAACTACCCCCCACACAAACCAACCCCTGGGCACACCCCTGTAGGTGCCTATTTGCATATATCAATAAAGAGTATTGACAAATTTTTTCTTACTGAATTTCTCTGATTTTGAGAAATTAGATCAACATTTTGTCATCACAGACAAATCGATCAAAGTTTGCACGAAACACTTGCTAAAATAAACGCCGTAGTAGACCTACTTAAACGAAGTTAGTTTATATAAGTCGTTGGAAATAATTAATTCTGATCATTAAAATATGTAAATTAATAAGCTTTTTTACCCATGGAGCGTTGACAAATTCAAATGTTTTTAAAAAATACTACATGAACACACATATGACATATTTCAATATTTGTTGTTGTACATCATTAAATGCACGAATTYGTGGCACTCGAGTATCGAGTAGAAAATATGAACAGTTATATACCGTCAAAAACCCTTAACTATATATGTATCTTCGTGTTGGTTATAAAGCGAACGATTATACCTACTTACAGGTTACGGGTGGTACACTACGTTTCTCCGATCCGCTCAAAATCTCTCAGACGTGTGATGACGACAATATTATATAATATGACGAGGTTGAAGCCGATCGTAAGGTGTTTAGAATATTCGACCACGCGACGAGTCGTTCAAATGCGACTTAAAATTTTGTTTTATGCCCCATACGACGATGGTACGTTGGATGATGGTGACGTCGCCAACGGTTTTCGGGATTGATTAAGTTTCACCGTCGTGTCGTAACAACAACGATGATTGGCCACGAAAACGATTTAAACAGTGATGAATAACGGGTAATATAATAATAAATAAAAAAATAAATAAAACGTGAATCAGCAGGTGTGCGTGCCCATAAACATGATAATATGTATTAGGTACACATCACCCATATAATATAATATAATATACGGCAACGAAAATTATTTAGACATCTAATAATACAATATTATAATGATGATATAAATAATTAAATGACGTATGTAGGTACGTATATATATATATTACATTTTAGATGCGATTAGGTCGATAGGTTAGGTGTATTAAATTCGAAATTACATGTTAGGTCACGACGAACTGATGTTTAAGTACATACAATAACGATATGATAACTAATAATAGTGATGATAATATTTATTACCTATTGGTGCGAGTAAATTTTTATTCACGGTTAACTGTACGTCTGTACCTATATGTCTAACACGGTGATAAGTACAGAACCTTCGAACACTTTGATCGGAAATGAAATAAAATAAACGTAGGTGCCTATAGACACGTACCTATTATTAAAAAACAGCAAATGCACAACAGTATACATATTATTTTTATTCACGGTTAACTGTACGTCTGTACCTATATGTCTAACACGGTGATAAGTACAGAACCTTCGAACACTTTGATCGGAAATGAAATAAAATAAACGTAGGTGCCTATAGACACGTACCTACAATTTCTAATTTACACAACTTTTAAACTTAGAAATGGTCATCGATATTGTTACACCGTTCAGCGATAATAATAATATGTATACTGTTGTGCATTTGCTGTTTTTTAATAATAGGTACACGGCTAAAAAATAACTAACAATGCAAGCTTTGGTTCTGTCTCCCAAATCGTATTTAATCCGTATGTAGCAGCCAAGTATTATAGCTGACCGGACAACTCTAATTAAACTGAAAACAGTTAATCTACATCGCAATAATATAATATTAGAAATTAAAACACAATTTACGTATAGAAAAAAAAATAATAATAACAATAATAATAGACACTTTATTTTCTCTAGATCAGGTATATACCTATAACTGTTTTACTGTAGTTTTAGGTATATTCAGTATTGTTATTTTTTATTGATCTTATAAGATTACAATCGTTAGTTGCAGCGCCTATTTATTTATTTTTAGTGGATCCTGACACAAAATGTGTAGCATATATGGTCTGGGGAGGGGCAAAATTATTTCAAAAATAAATATAAAGATTTTTATACATTTATCAATGCTTACATTTTAAAAGTAATCTATGTTTACTAAATTGGCCCGTTACGATAATGTTTTGGAAAAGAAATTTAAAATTTCTGATTAATAAAAAAGAACTATTACGAAAAACAAGTTGACATTGTACTAAAAATTATAAACATATATGAAAATGGGGAAGATAAAGCGTTGGGGGTTTGCCCCCACACCTCTGTATCATATCATTGTATATTAAAAAAAGTTGTGGTACTTACAATTTTTTACATTTTTTTTTTTTTTTTGAAAAATAGGTGCTGAATTTAGGTGTTAGTCAGTTTTAGTAGCTTTATGAGGTACTGTTGGGCCGCAAGGCCGAATTTAAAATTTTGACAACAACATTTTGGTGCCCTCAACTTCGTTTATTATTAATTGTATAACTACTTATAGTAAGTAATACTAATTATATAGGGATTTGTGGTATCCAATTTAGTAATTCGATAAATAAAATGTCAAAAAAAAATGGCGGCTAAGTCGTGGATGTCGCTCTGCTGTACAGTAGGTTACAAGTGAGTTACTGTAATGGATGGAATTAAATTTGAATCCAATGATATTTTATCATTGTATACGAAAAACGATTCTGAGCGAAGACGGTTTATCTGTCTAGG